CTACATAATAGCAGATGTGACACGTGCTAGAGAGGGGAGGGCCATCTCTGGGAGAACATGAGGTGGGCCCCTCTGTCCTGGATGAGGGGGTCAGGAGGCCTTCCAGGGTCAACAACAGACGAGGGAGATGTTGGCTGAGGGGGCTTGGGCCCCGGTGCGGTGAAAAGAGCAAAGGGGATAGCACGTGGTATTGCCTGTGGGAGGGTCCATGACAGTCTTCGAGTGGCCAGAGGGTAGTGAGGGGGTGAGGCTGGTAGCAAGGTGAGAAGCTGCAGACGTCGCTGTGTGAGATCATGCAGGGTCTCCCCAGCCCTGTGGATTGGGGTCCTGGACCTACCGAACCTGGGGTGGCCCTGAAAATGCACTGGATCTCTGCTGTGGGGTAGCAAATTACCCCAAAACTCAGTGGCTTCAAGCAATAGTAAACATGCGTTAGTTCAGTTTCTTTGGGTCAGGAGCTCATGAGGGCTTGGCTTGGGGATTCTGGCCCAGGGCATCTCCTCCACAAGTCACCGGAAGGCTTGACCAGGGCTGGAGGATCAGCTCCAAGCGGGCTCGGTCATATGGCTCTGGGCTGGGGCTGACCTCCTCCAGAGCAGGTGGTCCCAGAGAGGCGAGGCAGGGCCCAAATGTGCTCTCTGCCCTCGCTTCAGAAGTCACACACTGTCCCTTCCACAGCTGGCCACACAAACCAACCAGAGTCCAGTGCGGGAGGGCGTACTAAAGGGTGTGAGTGCCTAGAGCCCGGTGACACTGGGGGCAGCTTTAGGGGCTGGCTGCCGCAAAGGATGTAAACACATGATTGGTTTTGTGAATTGTGTTTCAAAACGGTCTGCCCGGGGGCGTCTGGGTGGCCCAGTTGGTTGTTTCCAACTCTTAATTTTGGCTCAGGTCCTGATCTCAGCGTTGTGAGATCGAACCCTGCCTCGGGCTCCGTGCCGGGCATGGAGTCTGCTTGGGATTCTCTCTCTTCTTCTGCTCCTCCCCTCTCTCTCTTTCTCTCTCAAAAAAAAAAAAAAAAAAAGGCCTGCCAGGCTGTTCAGTGTGGTCAAGACTCCTCATACAGCTTCCTCTTTGGGTTCTGGACTGTGTCTCTGCTTTACCCTCTGTTACCCTTCTGTGTCCTGCTGGGATTCCAGTGTTGGCCCTTCCCCAGCTGCATGGTCTCTTCTGCCTGTGCAACGCCCCCCATTCACAGCCAGCCCTTGAGAGCTGCCCAAACCTACCATGTCCACTTGCCTCCCCTCCCTAACCCTGTGGGATCTTGGCTTCTGCCCCGTCACCCCACGCTGCCAATCTCACTCTGGGGCCGTGGCTAAGGCCTCTCCCAGGGCACCTCCCTCAGACACTCCCTCCTTCTCCCGCCCTCTTCCCAGGGCTCTGGTCTTCTCTGGCCTGTCCCTCTGCTCTGCAGGCCTCCTTGCCAAGCTCCTCTACTGTCGGGGTTCCTAGGCCGTCCTCCGTCTCGACTATGAGCACAGCCTCAGTTTCCATCTATTCGCCAGGGACACATTTCCGTCCTCTAGGCTCCTAGTCCGCAGACCTCCATCAGGAGTGGCCCCGTCAGAGTCCCAGTTTGGCGGTTCCCACGGGTGCCTGAACCCAGCACCTCTGCCTGAGCTCCAGGCCTCTGGCTCCCCCCAGGCCCCTCCTGCCCTTCTCTGCCACCTCAGCAAGCAGCACCTGATGCGAAGGTGTTTATACCTAAGGGACAGTTATCCCTGGTGCTCCCTTCTCTCCTGAGCCCACATCCAGTCAGGCAGCAAGCCCCAAGGGCTCTCCTGAAAAACACTGCATCCACACCTCCTCCCACCCTGTACTCACACCGTCATCGAAGCCACCAGCCCTCTTCCATGGAGGAGCGGGAGGGGACTGGCAGCGGGGAGGACAGGCTTGCCAGTGTGCTGGGGAGGCGCTGAGTGAGTCCCAGAGTGAAGGAGGGAGATGGCGGGAACTGGGGTCCATGGTGGTGGCCCATTCCTCTTGTACCTGGAGTGCAGAGAAGGTGGCTCAGGGGAGTAGATGGGGAGAGACCCCTGGCTGCTGGAGTGGAGCAGGTCAGCCGATGGCTTCCCCAGGGAGCTGGCCTCTCCTCTCCCTGCCTCACTGCTGGGGTGCTGCCAGAAGCAGGAGGATATTCTGATGGGCCAGAGCCCACACCCAGACTTCCATTGTTGGGGGACAGGGTGCTCAAATTTTATCACTTTTTATGAGGACATTTTGCACCCAGTTCACCTCCCCTTGTTTCTCCTGGAGAATTTTTCTAAAAGTAGGCTTACATTTTTAAAACTTTTTAATTTGGGGCACCTGGGTGGCTCAGTCGGTTGAGCATCTGCCTTCGGCTTAGGTCATGATCCCAGGGTCCTGGGATGGAGCCCCGTGGTCGGGCTCCCTGCTCAGCGAGGAGCCTGCTTCTCCCTCTGCTGCTCTCTCTTTCTGTCATATAAATAAAATCTATAAAATTTTTAATTTAAAAATTTAATTCTGTTAAAGTACTAGAAGGAAACAGGAATTTTTAAAATGCATTTAACCTTCAGATGCAGAATTCCTTTCTAAACAGACACAGAACACCGAAGCATTTCACTAAGCAAATACGAAAATGTCCTGTAAGGAAAATACATGATAGACAATCCAAAGGAAATTGTCATATCAGCTGAAGCAAAAATATCTTCAGCAGCTCTGACAAACAAATGAGCTAGTGTCCTCTAATAGATAAAGATGGTCAAGATCATTTAAAAACTATAACACCCCAATAGAAAAATGGGCAAAGGATACCAACAGAGAGAAGCAAGTGGATGATTAACATCTGAAAAGACACACAGTAGTTTCTGTAATTAAGAAGTGCAAATTAAAACTAAAAGATGCATTTATTACCTGTCAGACTGACAAAATTCCAGGTGTGTGAGACACAGTCCAGCTCAACTTGGTACTAGAGAGTAACCATTGCATAAGCTTGAAAATTGCATAAGACTGGAAATTTGGGCCCACGGCCCACCAGGAGACCTGGCTAAGGAGCAATGAGATTTGGATATGAGCAGATATGTTCTTTTTTTTAACTTTTTAAAAATTGTGGTCAACTATCTGTACATAACAGAATTTACTCTTTTGAGCATTTTTAAGTAGACAGTTCAGTTTTAAGTACATTTACATTGGTGTGCAACCATCCCCCATCTGTCTCCAGAACTTTTTTGCCTTGTAAAACTGAATCCCCATTAAACACAAACTCCCCATCTGCCCTTCCGCAGCCCCTGGCACCCACCATCCTACTTTCTATGTGTAGGAATTTGATGACTCTAAGGACCTCATAGAAGTTGTCCTTGTGTGATCGGCTTCTTTCACTGAGCACAGTGTCCTCAGGGTTCATCCATATTGTAGCATGAAAGCAGATGCATTGTTCAGTAAAAAAGTAAGGGGCATCTAAGAATGTGTAGGCATGGGATGCCTGGGTGGCTCAGCCTGGGATCGAGTCCTGCATCAGGCTCCTTGCTCAGCGGGGAGCCTGCTTCTCCCTCTGCCTGCCGCTCCCCCTGCTTGTGCTCTCTCACTCTCTCTTTCAAATAAATAAATAAAATCTTAAAAAAAAAAACAAAAAACGTGTATGCATAAAATACCTCTAGTTAGGTGAACAAAGATCCATTCGGTAGTGAGGGCTTCAGGTGAGGATTGTTCATCATATCAGCATGTCATATCAGTGTTCATCATAACACATCAAACGACATTGTTAAAAATGCCTGCTATGTATGTGCATTGCTTTTTCAATTAAGAAAAAACTGGGGGCGACTGGATGGCTCAGTCATTAGGCTTCTGTCTTCAGCTCAGGTCATGATCCCAGCGTCCTGGGATCAAGCCCCGCATCGGGCTCCCTGCTCAGCAGGAAGCCTGCTTCTCCCTCTCCCACTCTCCCTGCTTGTGTTCCCTCTCTCGCTGTGTCTCTTTCTGTCAAATAAATAAATAAAATCTTTAAAAAAAAAAAAGAAAAAAGAAAAAAGCTGAATTTTATTAGAGTTTGGGTTTGTTTGGTTTGGGTTTTGGTCTATTTAAATTAGTGGTATCTTCTGATTTTTATGATATGGTTGGTTAAATGTTGCTACCTGGAAATTGAACCCCAGAGTTACTAAGTTAGAAAATACAGACTGAACAGCTTGTGCTCCTGCACTCTCCACAGGCCTCACCACTCCCTACCGCCTCCCCTCTCCTTACATTACATATGCGGCTTGACCTGCAGGCATCAGAGTTTTCGGCCCCATGCTCTTGACCTTCCTGCCAGTGCCACAGGAGAGCTCTCCTTCTCATTCTCTCCACACCTCATCACCCAGCTGCTCAGGGTCTGCCCCTCAGTATCACGTCCCCCATCTTGTGAGCCCTACCTTCCCCTCATCATCCCAGGTCTCCTCCTCCAAGCTGGTCCAAAAGGACTGGCTACTTGAGCTCCCCACCAAAGCGCACCCCCAGGCTCTCCAGCAGTCCCTACCCCTCTGCCCGTGGCTGGCTGCCCTCCCCGACTGGCATAGACTGGAATCTCCAAGCTACAGATGATTTCTGAGCTGGAGTAGGATTCCAATGCCCCCCTTCCCTGTGGGTATCCATGGAAGGGAGGACACCAAGGAAATGGGTGTCTCTGAATCTTCTGTTGCAGTCCTGAGGGAAACCCTGGAAGGCTCACAGCAAAAGTGTGGGCAGAGCCATGAGGCAGCAGGTTTGGGTCTGTGACTTCCCCATAAAATGGTCCTGCACTCCTCTTAAGGAGCAAATGGAAGGACGCCAAAGGGAAGGCACAAAATATGTTCTGTGTGCCAGGTACATGTACACATGGGCCCTTTTCTTGCACAGTTATCACAAATCGCCAGCAAAGTCAGCATGATCAACTCAGATGTGGAAACAGAAGCTCAGAGAAGCTGAGCGACTTGCAGGGCCACTCAGCAGGCAGGTGAGGATGCTGGCACCAGAGCCTCTCCCCAGCCTCACACTGTGTTCACAGCTTTGCTTTTGTCTCTCCCCAGAGAACAGGCTGGAGTCCCCGGACAACAGTTCTTCTTCAATCATTGAAGAAAAAAAGGAGAAACATGGGAAAAAAGGTAAACGTAGCCCTCATGGTGGGAGTCAAACATCTCCCCTTGTCAACGTAGTCTCTAGTGTCAGTGGCAAAAGGAAATGCATTACTGAGACCTGAAATAATAGTAACATGAACAAAGTAGAATTTGTTTTTCCTCAAGTAATGGGAAATATGGGAGGCAGTCCAGAACTCCATGAGGTTCCACAAACAGCAGTTCTAAGAAATCACTCAGGTGACCGGTTTCCAAGTCTTTCTGCTCCACCAGTTTTAGCCTTAGGGTTTTCAACTGCAAAGTTATCATGTGGTCACAAAATGGCTGCTGTAGCTCCAGCCATCACATCGGAGTTCAGACAAGGAGAAGGGGTAAAGGGAAGAGCAAAACTGCCCACCAGTCAACTCAGCCCTCCCTGGAAAAAGAGCCTTCCCAGAAGCCCCACCCAGCAATTTCTGCCTACATTCCATAGTCTAGAAATTTGTCATGTGGCCATCAGTATCTGTAAGGGAGGCTGAGAAGTGTAACTGTTCAATGAGGCACATGGCTGCCACCTGTTAAGAAGAGGAAGGGTAGGCAGCTAGCTGCTCATACTGCTTCCTCTGAGCCCCTGCACTCCCGCTCTGCCCCCCAGGCTTGCTAGCCAGTCTGATCCTTCTCCAGAGGGGCACAGATGTGAGCATGTTCCCTGAGCCTATCTCTCCCAGGCTGAGCCACCTCCCATCAAGCCTCCCCCCCTTGTGTTCCCTCTTGCTTTTAATTATGACAATACAAACCTGCCCAGAAGTAGAGACTAAAATGCAGTGAACGCAGGTGCCCATCACCAGACTGGACAGTAGAGATTTGGCCACATTTGTTGCATCTATCCTTTTTCTTTTTTTTTTTCTTTTTTTGTCTTTGCCAGAATATTTTTTTTATTTTAATTTTTTAATTTTAATTCCAGTGTAGTTAACATACAGTGTTATATTAGTTTCAGGTGTACAATACAGTGAGTCAGCACTTCCATACATCACCCTGTGCTCATCATAAGTGCCCTCCTTAATCCCCATCACCTATTTCACCCATTCCCCCACCCCTCCACTCTGTCCATCAGTGTGTTCTCTGTAGTTAAGAACTTGTTTCTTAGTTTGCCTCCTTTTTCTCTCCCTTTGTTCATCTGTTTTATTTCTTCAATTCCACATATGAGTGAGATCATATGGTATTTCTTTCTAGGACTGACTTATTTTGCTTAGCGTATTTTTAGCTCCATCCACATTGTTGCAAATGGCAAGATTTCCTTCTTTTTATGGCTAAGTAATATATCACGTCTTCCTTATCCATTTATCTATCAATGCACACAGTTGGGTTGCTTCCAGACTTCGCCAGAATATTTTAAAGTAAAATCCGGGCATGTTATTTCATCCTTATATCCCACAATATTCATTTTTCAAAAATAGGGATGTTTCCCTGCAAGGCCACAATGAAGTTTCCCAATTATCTCAGAAATGTCTTCCTATAGAAAATTCGTTCTAATTAGGATTCAAATGAGATCTGATCATCTTCACTCTCTTTAAATCTAGCAGAGTCCCTCCCGCATGTCCTTTGTCCTTTCATTTTCTGTGTCTTGACTTACTGTGAAATGGTGTTAATTATCCTGTAGAATGTCCCCTGTTCTGTATGTGTCTGTTTGCTTCCTGGTCATTGTCATTGTTATTGAAACGGTCCTCTGTTCCTCATATTTCCTTTAATTGGACATAACCCTACATGCTTGATATTCCATTTTGTCCACGAGAATCCTTCCTACCACCTCTCACAAGAAGCTCACGCATCCAGCTGTCTCAATGGTGGCCATGCCACGCTCAGTGGGTTCAGGTAGTGACCGCCTGGCCCTCTGTCAGATTCCCATCAGCCATTCACCCAACAGCTTCTTCTACCCATGGATGCCTATGCTTAAATTGATTGCTACATTAAGGGTGAGGAGTCTCGGTTTGGGTTTGGTTTGGTTTCTTCTCTAAGGTATAATTCATAGAAGGTGAAATGCACAAATCTTAGTATACAGTTTGATAAGTTTCAATAAATGTATACAACTTTGTAGCTTCCACCCCATTCACCATCTAGAGCATTTCCATCTGCCCAGACATTCCCTTTCCCCAAGAGACAGCACTGTTCCGCTATCATCAGAGAATCACTTTATCCATTCTCGAACCTTGTATAAATGGAGTCACATTCTGTGCTCTTGCAGTCCTGATCCTGTTCACTCAGCATCACATCTATGGAATGCCAGTCACAGGACTCCCTTCTTTGTTGTGGCTGTGTGTATCCTATTGTGTGCATATGTCAACGGTGTATTATTCTTTCTGGAGTGGATGGACATTTGGGTTGTTTCTGGGTTTTCGATATTACAAATAATACTGCAATAAACATTCTTGTACATGCCATTTAGGGAAAGAAGCACTCATTTCTCCTGGGTGTATATGAAGGAGTGGAATTGCTGGTAGTATGTTTAACCTTAGTAGATACCGATGAGTTTTCCAGAACAATTGTACCACCAACAGGTGTGAGCGTTCCAGATGCCTCACATCCTCTCCAACAGTTGGCACACTGTCGATGCTTTTACTATTACCTGGCCTTCTGGATATGTATTAGCATCTCATATTCCCTGTGGCCAATGAGGGTGATTACCTTTCTATACGTTCACTGATGACTCTATGTTATAAAGTGCCTGTCCCTGCCTCTGCTCACTTTTCTATTGGGTTGTCCTTTTGTTTTAATGATTTCTAGGAGCTCTTTACATATTCTGGAAACAAATCATTCACCAGTTCTAAGTATGCAAATACCTTCTCTCACTTGGTAGATTGCTTTTTCCTTTCTTGGTGGTGCTTTTTAATAAACAAAAGTTCCTAATTTTCATGAAGTTCCCTTTACCAATCATTTTCATATGGTTGGTACTTTTTGTGTCCTGGTCATGAAGATACTGTATCTTATACAAGTTTTGTGTTCACTTTACAATCAGACCTACAAATCGTCTCTAATCTAATTGTAACCACTTTGTAGATTCTTTGGATTTTCTCCTCTACAATCACATCACCTTGAGATAACATTATTTGCCCTCCCTTTCCAATCCTGTACTTTTTATTTCTTTTTCTTGCTTAACTACAACATTGCATAGAAGTGCAAAGATAGGTATCCATGCCTTGTTCCTGATCCTGGAGGGGAAACATGCAATATTTCCCCTTGAAATTTCTTATAGATACTCATGTCCCGTGGTTGCTGTCACAAACTCAGTGGCTTAAAGCAACACAAATATATTATCTTACAGTTCTGGAGTCAGAAGTCTGAAATGAATCTTACAGAACTCTCGAATCAAGGGGTCCATGGGGCTGTGTTCCTTCCGGAAGCTCCAGGGGAGAATCTGCTTCCTTGCCTTTTCTAGCTTAGAGGTGCCCACACCCTTGGCTCCTGGCCCCTTCCTCCGTCTCCAAAGCCAGCAGCACAGCCTGCTCCAGTTTCTGTGATGTCACTCCAGCCTCTGCTTCTGTCGTCACACCTGCTCCTCCTGCTTCTGGCCCTCCTGCCTCCATCTTAGAAAGACCCTTGTGATTACATCAGGCCCCTCTGTCTAATCCAGGGCCATCTCCCATCTCGAGGTCCTTCACTTCATCCCATCTGCAAAATCCCCTTACCATATAAAGGAATCTAGGCACAGGCTTGGGGTTTAGCGTGCGGCCATCTTTGGTGGCCACTGCTGAGCTCACCACACTTCCCTCTATCAGATTGGGAAGCCCCCTCCTTTTCCTAGGTTGCTACGACTATGATTTAAAATCAGTTTTGGATTGTATCAAATACTTCTACTGTATCCCTTGAAAAGATCGTATCATTTTCTCCCTCATTCTGTTAATGGGGTATATTATATTGATTGGTTTCTAAATGTGAAACCAACTTAGCATTTCTGGAATGATCTGCTTCAAATGATGGCCAGTCTTGGTTGTAGGCTCATCTTCCCATTAACATATTTCCATTCAGAAACATTCCCTACTCACCGGACTGCAAATGCAGTTTCTGTTTTGGGAAGCCAATCTCCACATTGTTACTTATAGATTGAGTGGCTTACCTCTCTGTCCCTCTTCCTCACCGGAAGTAACAACAATTCCCACCTCAGGGTCATTATGAACATTCAGTCAGGCGAAGTCCGTGGTCTGGCCATGGTAAGTGCTCATTCTTGTTAACTAGCATAATTAATCTCTTTGATGGGGACATGGGACATTCAGCCCACGCATGCTACTGGCACGTAGTTTGGGGACATCAAGACTAACTTTTCCCTGCCTCTCTCACCCAAGCTCAGTCCTCACTATTCTGAATTTAGGGCCCCTGCCTGGGGTTGCTGGACAAGCACAGGGAGTGAGAGAGAGTGGGATGAGGACATGAGGAGGGGGCGAGCTGTGGCAGTTCTGTCCAGGCCTCTCAGGCCCTCATTTCTGCGCCCAGAGCTGTCACTTCCCGAATACCTTCCTCCCCACAACCCAGCCTGGTTGAGCCATACTTCCCCACTTCACCCCATCCCCGCCCACCGCTTTCCCTCTTCCAACTCTCCCTGGCAGCTCCCCCCTCCCCTGCCCCGAGTCATCCCTTCTTGTCCAGAGCTGTGTGCAATCTCTGAATGTACGTTACATCATTTCTGGGGTATGGGGTTGGCCTGGTGGGGGAGACAAGCCATGTACCCAGGTCACCATTTGCACCTGCCACCCCAGCCTCCTGATGCGGACAGAGAGGCCCTTTGGCAGTCTTTTCTGGAGCCTCTCTATCAGCAGCAAAGTCAGCGTGTAAAAAAAAGTCATGATTAGGCATGGAACGAGAGTCTAAGCTTCAAACCAACCTGCACAAGTCCTGTCCCACTTCTGTCCCTCCTGTCCACAGGTTCCTGACGGCCCTGGGGTCAGTACCACCCCTGTGACCTCTCCCTGTCTTGGGCCGCCTCCTTCCACATGCTCCCCTCTCCAGAAACCAGGCTGAGACCTGACTGGAGGCCCCTGCGGGCTTCCTCCCCTCAGCGGGGCCCAGGAGTAGATCATCTTTCTTTCCTCTTCTCACTCAGATTTGTAAACTATTTTGACAGGATTTAATTCTTAGAGAAAAGTTGAAAGAATAGTACAGAGATGTAGACTTGGAGCTTTTCCACCCCCTCTGCATGATGGGTGCAGGCGAAGCATCCTGGCGGGACCATCTGAGTGACTGCTGGGGTCGCACTGGCCAGAGAAGGCCCACCCCTCTCGCTTCTGCTCTAGTTCACTCTGAAGGCCTGAGCAGGATGGAGTCAGCCAGCTTCTCTACTCTTGGTCATTAATAAGTACGGATCTTGTGCGGAGGTATTTTGAGACCCTCGGTGCATAACTTCAAATCCCCTTCGCAGGGGATTTTCACTGGTGAGGGTGTAAAATGGGACAGACCGCCAGGAAGGCAGGTCGGCATAAGACTCCAAAGCTTGGAAATGCTCACAGCCCCTGGCCCCTGTTCTCCCTTCTGAAAATCAATTGCCAAGAGCCAGCCCATGGTGGCGCCCTGGGAAAGCCATGCCTTACTGCACCCCATTATAACTGCATACAGGGCTCGCAAAGAATTAGTAATTTCGCAGGCATTTGGTGAAGGTGAAGTGGTTTTTTTTTAAAGATGCGAAATTATTAAAAATAGGTGTTGGAAATTACTAGAAGAAAATACCCCCAGAATGTCACCAGCAGTTGTTTCAAAGTGGGGGAGTTATTTTGTTCTCATACTCTTTTACTTCCAAGAATTTTTTGTTTTGTTTTGTTCTGTCTTACAACGAACCCCTTTTCCTCTAAATCAAGGATAAGGGGAGAAAACATCCATATTTTTAAGCCCTTAGTTTGGTGCCTCCTGGGTTCTCTCCCTGCTGAGCTGAGCAGCAGGAACCTCTTCCTTACCCACAGAGGTAGGGGGAGCAGCAGAGCAGGGGTCCTTGGCAGCCCCCATCTCCCAAATTCCTGCCTGACCCTCACCCCCTAGGCCTCGGGTGCTTTGCCTCACTTGCCCACAAACTCAGCCTTCCCCTGGGAGGCTCCTGGAGAATCCTGCAGACAGGCATGTTCACCCGGTGTGCCCACTGCCCACTGCCCTCTGCAGGCAGGTGCCTCTGCTCTGGAGTGGGCCAACCTCCTGCCAGCTGGCCCCATCTCCTCCCCCCTCTTGCTTCTCTCCTATAAGGAATAGGGGTTCCTGAGACTTTAAATGAGAGGGGCCAGAGGTCTGAGACACAGGTGGGGCTGTGTTCACCAGGTCTCTTTCAGATGCCATGGACAGAAGCCCACATCCAACTAGATTAAACCAGACAGGTGAGTTTATGGAGTTGGAAGGGCCAGGGTTCGACTTCAGGCACAGCTGGATCTAAGAGAACTTTTGCCACTAGCTTGTGCTTTCAAGTTCCTCATGCTGGGCGGAGAGGGCTCCAGGACTCCCGAGGCACAGACCACCGTTTGGAAGAGCTGGCTCATCTCTCCAATGAGGTATCTCCCTCTCCAGTGTCCATGATTGTTCCTGACCGTTCAGCAAATCCTTTCCACATGTCTGGAGATGTGGATTTCTTCTTGCTCAGAGAACAGGAGCGGAATAAGTCTCGTGCAGTGAGTATCTAGGACTGGTCTGCCCACAACTCTTCCCTCCCTCACACATGCAGAGCCAAATTGCCCTTCTCAGAAGAGTACTTTCTTTGGGTCACTCTCTCTAGAATAGTCAATGGTTATTTTGTTAAAGATTTTGTTTATTTATTTAGAGAGAGTGAAGGGGGGGCAGAGGGAGAAAGAGAGAAAGAATCTCAAGCAGACTCTAAGTTGAGCACAGAGCCTGATGGGGGCTCCATCTCACGACCCTAAGATCACGACTTGAGCTGAAATCAAGAGTTGGACACTTAACTGACTGAGCCACCCAGGCGCCCCAATGGCTCACCATTTTTTAAAAAATCAATTCAAAAACCTGACTAGCTCTCCAGTATCTGACCTGTCCCACTGTTCCTACACAGTTTCATCGCTACTCTTCCTGAGTCTTGTCAGAGTGGGCTGTTGGAAGCTACTGTGGCCTAGCCTCAGCACCAGGCTTTGCTTCTGCTTCTCTTGCATGAGAGGCCATCCGCTCCTGAGACTCTCTCTGTCCTGCAAGGCCCATCTCAGACCTCAGGGACTCTCACACCTCCCCCAGGAGACCACCGCCCTTGCAACTGCTCCAGCTGTGCACAGTCCCCCTTGCTGGAATTCTTGGAGGCCAGATACACACACAACCAAGCACTCATGCGTGCATACACAGACACGCATGCCCCTCAGCAATACATGGGAATCCTGGAGCCAGCCCCAACCCCTAGGCCATGCCTTGTCTGCACCCCAGCATAGTCTGTCTTGCCTCCCCATCCAAGAGCCCATCTGTCCATTTCCACCCCCTGCAGCATGGCCAGAGCAAGCAAGCATCCCTGCGGCCAGGCCCAGGGAAGACTCACCCGGGAGCATCTTCCCTGAGAAGTGGTCAGCATGGGCCATATTTCTGGACACACTCTCGTGTGTTCCAGGCTCCCTTTTGCTCTGACTCTGTCTGCCCCAACTCAGGGCTCAGTATCTGGGATTCCTTGGAGAAGTGGTTCCCACTGAGACCCAACCAGTGAACAAAGACACATAAGGAAATGCACATTTTCCAGCCCCACCCCAGACCTCCCCACTAGAAGCTCTGGGTGGGCCACCATGAGTGTTTTCCCCACCTTACTGCCATGCTGTGCACCCCCTCATGCCCTGGAAGGAGGCACTCACACAAAGCCATACTGAGCAACACACACTTCTCAGAGGCCTCTAAGTGGGGAAACACGGCAGACACACACAAAACTTTCTCTGACATTGACTTAAGAGACCTTTCTTTCTCCAGTGTAAGTTTGGATTTTCTTCTCCCAGCCTAGCCCTGCTTCCAGGGTCGCCTCTGCCTTCTTAAATCAAACAAACCTGATGCCCCTCCCCACACCCCAGCAGAAACCCCCAGTCTCACATTGACCCCAAGCAGCTGCCCAATTTCTTCTAAGCACAGACCTTCTGCCATTGGGATTCTAGCAGGTGGTATTTCCCCACTTTGTTCTTCTACAAGGACATGCAAGCTAGTGGCCTCAGGCTGAATCCCCTCACAGATGAGGTTTCCCTAAACAGCCTTCTTTAGAGGCTGAATGGGTTGTTCACCTGGCAGGGCCAGCAGGGAATAGAAATGCCCCAGGAAAGGCCAAATGAAGAGGATTCATGAAGGCCTATCTGATTCTGTGGGCTAGGGTGCCTAGCATAGAAGGATGGGGAGACCCCCAGGGCTTGGCAGCTGGTGGGGCTGGGCGCCCCTGCAGCCAAAGACCTGAACTAGGCCTCAGGGAAGAAAAGCCCCCACCCCCACACCATCCTAGGATCCTCCCAAGTGAAGGGCTGGGAATGGGAGCAACCCTGAGGCAGACTGGAGGCCAGGCAGGGTGGGGAGGAGCTGGTGCGGGCAAATCCCCAGCAACCCGATCACTGCCAACACTGACTGCTGAGCTTGCAGATCAAACTCAGGATTTCAAGTTTCTTTTTTTTTTTTTTTAAGATTTTATTTATTTATTTATTTGAAATAGAGCCAGAGCAAGAGAGAGAGCATGAGCTGGGGTGGGGGGAGAGGCAGAGGGAGAGGGAGAAGCAAGCTCGCCACTGAGCAGGGAGCCCCTGGGATCATGACCTGAGCCGAAGGCAGACCCTTAACTGACTGAGCCACCCAGGCGCCCCATGGATTTCGAGTTTCTTTTGGAAACTCAGAAGATCTAGTTTCCCTGAACCTCGGAGTGTCAGATTTAGCAAATCACAGTAAGTGCGAATTTCAGATAAAGGAGGAATCATCTGTTAGTGAGTATGTCCCTGCACTATTGAATGCACATCTCACTAGGCATCCTGTACTTCACCTGGTGACCCCCCCTTCAGCCCGCTGTCTGGAAGCGCTTCCTGCCCACTTTCCTCTCAACCAGGGAGCTGTGCTCAGGCCACCCCCCACCCCGGGGCGCTCCCACAAGCACACACAGCTCCACAGCCTTCTCTGCGCGTAGCGAGTGCGCAGCCTGGACCAGGTTCTCACCTCGGGCCCCCGCTCCGCGTGTGCATTCCCTCAAGGCCGTGCGACCCTGGGACGCGTGGTGACGCCCAGGGAAGGAGGCTCATCCCAGGCTTGGTGGGGAGGGGGTAGAAATAGATGCTGGCCCCGCCCAACTCCGCCTGGGCACGCCCACTAGGAGCGGGAGCAGAAGACGACCCTGCAGGTGCACCAAAAGATGACTTACTCGTCCAAAGTGTCGGCCAAGCACACCAGCCTGCGTCGGGAGCTGCAGCTGGAGGACGAGATGCAGGACCAGGAGATGCGCGCCGAGGCGGAGCGGCTGCGCGCCTTCCACGACAACACGGTGTGGAAGCTCCACATGACCAAAGGTGCCCCCTTTTCCGGAGTCAGGTCTTGCCCTTCGTGCATGGGCAGCACTTTTAAATTGCTTGGAGAGTCAGGGCTGCGGTGCAATGGGGAAGGGGGAGGGGGATCTTTTCTGTGTCTGACCCTGCCTCCGGCCATCACACAGATTAATTCCAGACGGAATGCAAATCTAAAAGCCTTTGAATCCCAGTATTGCACGCGTTCGGAACGTTACCGTGCCCGTGAATGCAGACTGCACACATGTAAAATATAGTCCCTTAACTTGACGGTAAAGGGTGTCAGTCTGGAACTAAGTTCCCCGAGTTCAGATCTCAGCTTCAGCATTGAGTGACCTCACCATCCTGGGCCGGCTCTTCAGCTCCTTTGCACAGCAGTTTCCTCTCCTGGCCAATGACAGTGCCGACCTCGTGGGTTGTGTGATTCAATGTCTTTAGATGCTACATATAATGAGAAGGAACTGTGTGTGGGGGTGTGTGTGAGCTGTTATTAATTTTATGACCCAGTAGGAAATCTTAAGTATTGAATATGCATTAATATTCTACCAGCCCAGATGATAAAGTCCTGGAACCCAACTGGACTGCAGGTGTACTGAATGTGAATATTAATCAAAGAGACCCCCAGCCTCCACCCCTGACCCCATGGCGTGGTTTTAGGTGGAGAGTCCTGAGCTCACTTTGACACTTCTTGTGCCCTGCTCTGCATGAGACGGAACAGCAGCACTGCACATTTGTCACTTTGGTCCCACCCTGGGAGAGGCAGGCTGCATCTAGATGGGGAAGATTGGACCCAGTGGGTTTAGGCACAAGACTTGTCCATATCCCAGATTTGACTTGCAGTGGGGAGCTGGGTCTCCTTGGGGGAAGGGCCTTCCCACAAGGTGGCCCAGGGAGACAGAGGCCAGGCTGGGTCTCTGCCAGGCTTCTAGACTTAAGACTCCCGCACCACACCAGGGTCTTCCGGAAAGGAGAGCGTTTGAGAGAGAACACAGAGAGCCACATTGTTCCACAGCCCTTTCCTAGGTTCCTGGCCTCTCCAAAGTCAGGGCGCTTCTAGGCCTTTCTCTCCAGAAAGAGAAGGGAAGGAGGCTCCCGTGGCCCTTAGCCCCAGCTGCATTGCCTCTCTGTTTGCCCTCCAGAAAGTGTTCCAGATGCCCACTTTAATTTCCTCCCACTGGGCTTAAACCCTGGTGTGTCGACTTAGCTACTACCTAAATTGGATCCTGGGGGCTTAGAGTACCCTAAAGAGAGATCATGCTGCCCCATTTTTCTCTCACCACCCCAATGCAGGTCCTGGCCTAATAGGTCTTTTGTTATTAGGTCCAGCTGGATGAAATGTCCAGGGCGGGGGTGTCCAGAGTCTCACTCCAGGTGAGAAGAGTACTACAGCAAGAGAGGCTCAAGTCAGACATAGGAAAGGACTTCCCACCTGGCCCAGTCTCCAGCCAGGCAGAGTGTAATATATAAACAGAGCCTTCTCTCTTTTTGCTAGAGACAGAGCTCCATCTCCCAGAGTCCCTGTAATAACCTGGACCTGCCAGCAGAGCATACACCTCGGCCCAGCTCGGGTCTCTCGCACTGCCCACCCCGCCCCCCAGAGACCTCCCTCCTCTCTTTGCAGAAAGGAAGATGGAATCTGATAACATGAACAACTACCTTAATCAGAAGCGGCAGATGTTCCTTATCCAGGTTGGCCCAGCTGCAGTGCGCAGGGGGCCCGGGGAGGGGGCTCCCCCAGCCAGGAGCCTGACCCCCGCTCGGGTGGCCCTCAGCACGCCCTGCACAGGAAGCGGAGCGAGGTCCAGCGGCTAGAGATGCTGGCGGCCAAGGAGGAGGCGCAGTTGGAGCAGGCTGAGAAGTCCCTGGAGAAGGACGCAGCCTTGTTCGACGAGTTTCTCCGGGAGAATGACCGCAGCTCCGTTCAGGCCCTGAGAGTGTGAGCCCCCGCGGAGGGGCAGCCGGCGCGCCGCCGCGCCCCACCCCGGTGCCCCCCGGGGACTGTGCACCTGCGCCCAACCTGCCTGCATCCGCCCAGCCCCCCTCTGCCCCCTCCCCCGACCTGGCCCCTGGCAGCTCCCCACTCCCCTCCCAGGGCAGGGTACACGCCCCCTTTAACAGTCCGCGAGTGGCTCCCACCCCCACCCCCAGGGCTGAGAAGGAGACCAAAGCAAAGGTGGAGAAGATCATTGAGATCCGGGACCTGACCACCCAGATCATGAACATCAAAAGGTCAGCTCAAAGGGCAAGCCTGCCAATTCTGATCTGCTGCCTGGTCTGCTGCCACTTCCCTCCGCCCCTCTCCTGTAGCCAAAAGGAGCCCCTGCACAGCACAAACCTCATCGCTTCAACTCTCAAACCTAAATAGCTTAGGGACTCAAAGCCCTGCAGGATGCAGCTGCCCATTTTTCAGATGAGGTGACAGAGGCCAAGAAAAGATTCAGTGACTTTCTCAAGGCCACACCAGGAGGCAGGGCTCACTTGGCACACAGAGAGGGTCCCCAGGGTCCACTGAAACTCCAAAGTCACGGAGAGCTGTAATTGTAGAGGTGTGACCCACATTGGTCCCCAGCAGGGCAGTGTCCTCTCCCTGGCACAACAGTGCTGCTGTGCCTGTCCCCAGGAGAACAAGGAGCATGCCAGGCTTGGCCAGGCTTCAGGGGCAGTCCCCTCTGGAGGGGTGTCCCAGGAGGCAGAACCTGACCTCACCACCCCCTCTCCGGGTCTAGTGAAATCTCCAAATTTGAAGACACTCTGCAGCATTACAAGATCTACAAGGACTTCCTATACAAGCTGTCGCCTAAGGAGTGGTTGGAAGAAAAGGAGAAGAAGCACCTGGATCTCAAAAAGACCAAGGAGGGCACCAAGCCCCTGAAAGAGAACATTTTATTCTCCACAATAGGGGACAAAGGTAGCAGAAAAGAGAAAGTGGGTCCCTGGGTCCATCTAGACCCTGAGCCCAGCTGGCAGTGGCCTTGGAGGGTCCAGGCCACAAGCTGGGCCCCTTCCAGGCCTCGCAAAGCCCCAGCCAGAGGCAGCAGGTGCCCCTTAGGGCCTCATGGCTCGGCCCACACATCCACTCAAGGAAGATAGGGCCTGCTCTAACTCAGACCCCAGGGGCTTTCCTCCCATGCATGTCTTTCTGAAACAGGGGAAAAGGGTTGGGAGGGTCCTGGGGAACCCTGTGCCCTCAAGAAGTGTTTCTGAAGGTCTGGCTCTAGCTGAAGCCATCTGGAACCCTCTCTTGCTTCCTGTAGGACCAGGGAACAAGGGCAAAACAAGCTCCAAAGGTACGTGGCTGCCCCAAGCTGGAGGTGTCCTGCCCTGGGCTAGGGTGCGTGAAAACAATTCCTCTGCTTCCTCCAGATGGGCAAGGCCCAAAGAAACCCTGGAAGTTCCCGCAGGTGGCCCGGCCAGGGCGGCTCCTATCCAGCACCATGAGCCTCCAGCATAGCAGCCAGCCCAGCATGAGTAGCGGGCTAGACCCCAAAGGGTGAGTGGGTCTAGGGTAGGGCAACGAGGTGGCTGGGGCCTAGTAGGGAGTGCTCCCCAGTGACTGCAGGCCAGGGGGGCCCAGGACGAGCCCAGCCTCTCCGGGAAGGGTGAGACCATGAGGAGGGGCTGTTTCCCACATGGAGGGTATAGAGTCGGACTTAAGCACCAAAATCAAGATGTTTTCTAACAGTTTTATTTCTGTCCAATTCAATCAACTTATGCCTGAGGTGGTCCACTTGGGTGCTAACAGGACAGTCAAATATAAACGGGTGCAGGCAGCCAAGTTGGGCGCACTAAACTGGAGGGCACGTGCCGCCTGCCAAGGAGGCCAGAGCTCCAGAGCCTTTCGAGAGAAGCCATAGTCTGGATTTTTACAAAAATTACCCAGATTTAAGTGTGACAGTTACTTTCAAATCTTGTTAAAAACGTGAGAGGGACAAACAGAAACCCCGAACAGATCCGTGAGCCAATGCAGACCTGTCCCCACCCCACTTAAAAACCCTTCTGCCTACAAGGCCAGAGCCATACCCCCCACCTCCCCTTGCTGCTGGGTCACCCCCAATTTCTCCTCCTCCCTCGCTGAAAATCTGTTTAGTTTTAGGGGTTCTCTAAGTAAGACATTCAGAAAAATCATAACTGTATTGAAGGGTATAAGCTGAGAAGTCTTACCGCCCCCCCCCCCAGTCCTGGTGCCTCTCCTTCCAGCCCCTCCCCACCCAGACTGTTGGGCCAAGAAGCCACAGGTGGTATTGCAGTGAGATTTGTTATCTATTGCAAACCCTTCCAGCTGTTTGGGGTTTTTTTTTTAAAGATTGATTTATTTATTTGACAGAGAGAGCACGTGCGTGTGAGCCAGGGCAGGGTGGGCAGGGACAGAGGAGAGGGAGAGAGAATCCTAAGCAGACTCCCCACTGAGCCTGAGCCCATGACCACACTCAACCCCCTGAGCCACCCAGGTGCCCCTTTCCAGCCATTTTTATGTTAACAGTACATTGAACCGTATGAAGTTGCTGTTCCATAGCTCAAATGAATACCGGCATTTCCTCATGATTCAACCTAAATACAGGCAAAGGTGATTGTCTTACACCCATCCTTCCTTTTACTGGAGAGCTGACCCTGCACATCTCGCTGTCTATCCGTCAGCAGCACAGCCAGGGTGCATCCGGAGGCAGTCCTTCTCAGCTTCCTCCGGCTAGCCCCTGGCCTTTTGGCGCTGTTGGGGCGATATTCATGATACGTGATTATGGGAAGGGACACTGACCACACCCTCAGGTGCTCGCCTTCACAGCGCCAGGGGCCACTGCCAGGGTGCTCACCTGTCCCATGAAATCTGGACCGCCCCCCTCAGGCCAGCAAGCAAGACTGGAGAGCCAAGGCAGGTCGCTGGCAGGTAGAGACCCAGGGAAGAAGAGCTGCTGCTGCAGCATGAGTCTGAAGGCAGTGACCTGGCAGAATTCCCTCTTCTTTGTGGGAGGTCAGTCTTTTGCTCTTCAGGCCTTCAACTGATTGGATGAGGCCCACCCACATTATGAAGGGTCATCTGCTTTACTCAAAGTCTACTGATTTGTTCATCTCATCTAATAAACATCTTCACAGAAACATCTAGAATAATGTTGGACCTGGGCAAGTTGACATGAAATCCACTGTCCCAGGGGGCACAGGGGTGGGTCTGCTGGTCATGCAGTCGTTCCAGTGTCTGACAGCTCTCTCAGTCATCCTGGATGCTCCAGCTGAAGGCCCTGCCTCCTCCTGGGACCAGGTTCCAACTCCAGGGACTCTTGCCCCTTAGCCCTTCCAGCACCTGCCTCTGGGACCACCAAACATCTCTTACACACCTCTTGGATTTCTTCCTGCAGTGCCCGGCACCCCACATATACCCACCAGTGTTCTTCAGCCATGACCAGTGACCATGAGACAGACCTCCTCCTGCCCCAGCCCCCTGCCTCCTTCCCTGCTCCCTGCCCCCTTGCTACTCCAGTCAGCCACCCCAAGCCCCACCATCTCCTGGAGGGTACCCACATGGCAGGTGAGAAAACTGGGGCATACACAGCCAGGTAGAGTTGACACCCTCAGGTCCAGAGCCTACAGGAGCTAGGAAGCTTCACCAAAGCAGTGACATGAAGAGACTCAGGTCTTCTTTTATTTTTTTCTCTCATACTGATGCTATCGAGAGATCACAAGATGAACAAATCTTAATTGAACAACACTTGAATTTTTACACACATATGTACCCGTGTAATCACACCCAGGTCCAGACATAGAACATTCCTGGTGTCCAGAACTCCCTCAGGCCCTCCTCAGGCAGACCCCACATCAGTAAGTTCACACTATTTTGGTCTTTGTTGCCCTGGGCCACTCTCCCTGTTCTGAAACTCGGTGCACTGAGCACCTCGCCAGTGTGCTCTCTGGGCCCGGCATGTCTTCACTGCGTGTCTGCGTGGTTGTGTGCGGCAGCAGGCTGTTCTTGGCCATTGCTGCTTAGTGTCCCACCTTGTGAAGAAGCCCCATTCTTTGGGTCCTCTCTTTGATTGGTAGCCTTTTGGGTTGTTCCCAATTCTTGCCTATCCTGATTAAAACTGCTGCAAACATTCCTGTACTTTTCTGTATAAGCACTCTCTTTTGCATGAGCACTATTTTTGTTGGAAATAAGAGTGGGATTGCTGGGTCACGAGGTGAGTCTATGTTAAGCATTAGCAGCTTCTGCCAAACAGACCCCTGCTCTGGCCGCCGCATTATCTGCTCAGGCCAGCCGGCAAGAGGGTTCCAGAAGCCCCAGGTCCTACCCGGTCAGGTCAGATCGTGGGATTCAGCTATTGTAGGTCCCTGTCAGTCTCGGTATTCTGGCAGGGTTGTTTGAAAATAGTGTCTTAATAGAAAATGTGAGGTTTGGTAAGACCAACACATCAGGAGACGATGTCATTGAAAAGGTGGTTTTTAATTCCGTTCCCATGAGGAGGGGACACGCCACAGCCTGGGGCCACAGGGTGAGGCAACAGGCTGGCTACGGAGGCAGAGGGAGTGGGGGAACTGTGGGCAGGAGCCCTTCTTGCAGTTTCTGCAGGAAAGAACAAATGAGGCAGGGTACATGGATTTAGGATCGATGGGCTTGAATAATTTCAGGGCTCTGGGGCCAAGGGGTATCCTCAGTTGTCTGGCGATCAGGGCAAGGGGATAGTGGCCCAAGCTATGAGAGCTTGGATTGGTTGGTTTGCCCTTGAAAAGCACATTTGAGGGTGTATCCTTTACTCTCTCTAGGAATTGGCTAGCCCTGGGAGGGACAGTCTGTCCAGTCAGAGGTCAGCTCAGCCCCAGGGGTGGAAAGATCAGAATATGGAGAATAAAAGACAGGATTAATACAAGGGTGGGGTAGTATCTCATGATGGTCTTCATGACATTTTCATGATGACAAATATGATGGCCACTCAGATATCCTCCTTTGTGAGGTGTCTATTCAATTTTTGTACATTTTTATTGGATTATTGGTCTTTTGTTTCTGGTTTTCTATTAGTTCTTTATATATCTGGATGCCAGTCCTTCGTGTAAAAGTGTAGTATGAATATCTTTGCCCAGTCTGTGACTTGTCTTATTACTCTCTCAATGTTATTCTTTTGAGTCCAATTAGCCAATCTTTGCTTTTATGATTGGTGCATATTATGTCTTATTTAAGAAATCTTTGCCAATCTCAAAGTCACTGAAATATTCTCCTGTGTTTTCTTCTGGAAGCTTTCTAGTTTATCGGCTTAGACAAGGCACAGGGGTTGGAGAGAATGGGTGGCCCAGGGGCTCAGGAGCTCCCTGTCACTCTCCTTTGCAAGGTCTGTATCTTCTGCTCATCCCTTAAGTGCACCATCCTCTGTCCTTCCTTCTCTACAACAGCCTGGCAACCCTCTCCCATGGTTCTGTCCCCCACCTGCTCTTAATCTCCACGCCCCTGTAAGCATACTGCCCCCCGCTTTGATGTTCTCCTCACCCAAACTCCCACATTCCAAACTGATGCTTCTTGGGCTGAAAGGGGCCCTGAATCCTACCAGTTTCTGAGCTCACTTTCATCTTTATGCATCACAGTCGTGCCTTGTGGAGAAGACCAGCCACCATTGGTGGGCCAGGCACAAGCCTCAGGTTAACTTTGATCCCTGCAACCCTGGCCAGTGGGCACTGTCATTTCCAGTTTATTGTTGAACAGAGGTTCTAAAAGGTTAGCTATGCATGCTTCCCCTGCTTGCATTGCCTTCGAGGCTCCATGTTGGGGCAGTCCCTCAGAAGAGAGGTCTAGGATCACACCATCCCGGGTCCCTCTATCTATTAGCCATGTGACCAGGGCCACTGAGTACAGTTGGGCAGGTTGTGGGCTACACAAGGCATTCAGTTGAGAGAGCAAGTGGGGGCTAAAGTCCAGCCCACCCCATTGACTACTGTCCATCTGGAGGGCAGATTTTCAGGCACCTATGGGCCAGCAGTGTCCTGCAGGTGACCTTGGATGGGCGGGTAGCCAGTTCTCTAAGCTGCATGTTCCTCATTTGTCAAGTGTTCAGTACAAGGCACAGGCCTGGTGAGTGTTTTGGTTGTCACTGTGGCCCTTCCTTTGGGAAGTCTTCCAGGGTTCCTCCTTGGGGCTCCCACAGAGCCCTGCACTTCTCACCTCTCCCTGTGAGGTAGGTCAGAGCCTGGAGTCAGGCAGGCCTCAGCCCGGGTTCCTAGGAGTGGAGCCCAGATGCCTCTAGCTATGAGCCTGCCCCACCTGCTTCTCAGCCTGCAGAACCTGCACCCAGGGCAAGGGCCCAGGCCAAAGGAGGCCAGGAGGGGCGATGAAAGCAGGTTTGGAAGTCAGTTGAGGTCAGGTCCCCTCCAGCAGGGCCTTCCAGGGCCCCACACTGAGTGCTCAAAGCTCACAGTTTTTCCCACAACCCTGAGGGCCGGCCCAGAGGAGTCCCTGCCCCTGTGCGGTGCTCAGGATCAGTCAGAGGTAGCTGCAGGAAAGCTCTGAGGTATCACAGGATAGCTCTGAGTAGGACCATCAAGGACAAGAGCCAAGGGCAAATCTAGATAGGGGAGGTGGGCAGAAAAGGCCCTCTTAGAAAAATAAATGGTAAATGGGGCGGGACAACCCTAGCAGTGGGAGCTGTGGGTGCAAAGGTCCTGCGGTGGGCTCAGCACCCAGAGAAACAGAAAGAGAGCTGGTAGGACAGGAGCGGAGTAACTTTAGGGGTAGCAGAGGGTGGTGAGGGGGCAGTAGGGGCCCTATAAGCTCCAGGGAGGAGGCTGAGTTTTATTCTAACTGAAACGACATGAACTAATTGAATTTTGAAACTTTCCCCTGACTGCTGTGTGACAGCTATGGGGCCAAGAGGGGGACTAGTGCCCTCCCCAGGTCAGCTGGTGGGAGGAGGAGGGGATGAGGGCATAGGGAACGGGAAGGTGCCCTGGTGATGCTGGGAGGCTTCACCACTGGGGGTGGGGTAAGGCGACCACCAGACCTCTGCCCCCAGGCTGGGCAGCAGTGCCCTGACCCCACATCTCTCTGCAGGTCAAGCTCTATCTCCACTATGTATGAGGATCCAGACAGCGATGGGGAGGTCAGTGGCCCCACTCTGGGAGGGGCTGCAGGAGCTGGTCCCCCTGCGCTGCCCAGCCAGCCTGCACACGTGGCTCTGCTTGCAGGAGCCGGAGCTGTATTTCACAGAGCCCCAGCAGCTCCTGGACGTCTTCATGAAGCTAGAGGAGCAGAACCTCTCACTCATCCAGAACACACAGGAGATGGAGGAGGCCCTGGATGATCTGAACTTCACCCTGAAAAACACCCAGATTCGCATGTAGGTCTCCTGCCAGGGCTGACCAGGTGGGGGGAGGGGAGGGTTCCATCACTGGCTGTCATCCTGGGACCCCCATAACCACCAGGAGCAGAACGGTACAGCCGCCTACCCTCCCATCCAGGGCCCTCGCCCTGAGCTATCTTCCACTTTTCTGGAAAGCTCTATTGGATGACTCTGGGGAGAGGGCATGTCCTTTTGGGCAGAGGAGCTGGGGGGGTTGGGAAGAGGTCAGGTAGGTAGAGCCACATGGGGCTGGTCCCCTCCCCACCCAGAGCAGCCTTCAGCCAGCAGGAGGCATCAAGGAGTTCCCACCCTGGTGCATTCTGCTGACACCAGGCCCAGCAGGGCTGGGCCGAGTCAGGCTGAGACACTAGGTGAGGCCCATCAGGAGCAAGGAATCATCCCTTCACATCCAAACACGGGGTGAGCTCCTATTCTGGGTCAGGCCCAGGTCTAGGTTCTTTAAGGATAAGCAAGGCCCCGCCTCATGGAGCTGACATCTGGCCCACAGATGTGACTTGTAGATACTGACATGTGCCAGAGGAAAATAGACAGTGATATGAGAAGGAGGCTGAAGTGGAGGGGCAGGGCAGGCTTCCAGGAGAAAGCCTCATTTGACCCGGGCACTTCGTGAGCATGGGAAGCTGCACAGAGATCTGGTGGAAGAGGGTTCCAGGCAAAGGGAGAGCAAATGCAAAGACCTAAGGTGGAAGCCAGCCCAAGGCTTTGATGCCCCCTAGGGAGTCATGTTCTTAAGTACCCATGTCTTGTTGGCCCACATCCTGCCATGGAGAATCTTCTGCCCAGAGTCTCCTGCAGGTGATACAAAACCACCGGCGCTCTCAGGCAAGATTCTGTCTCCTAGAAAGCTGGGAGTCACCCTGAAAAATACCCAGATCCGCATGTAGGTCTCCTGCCAGGGCTGACCGGGTTGGGGGAGGGGAGGGTTCCATCACTGACATTTTTCAGGGTGACTCCCTTCCATCTCAGAGAGAGAGAGAGAGAGAGAGAGAGAGAGAGAGAGAGATGAGCTGGGGAGATGCAGGCAGCCTCCCAGATTCCAGGAACCTGGCAAGAGGACACACACATATACACACATGTATAGCAGAACCCTAGAGATGCGCTCCAGTCGCTGGTCTTTAGCCAGCTGAGCCATCCCTGAGCACCAACACTTCATTTTTGTTTCCAGTAGAGTCATGGCCTGTATGCATTAACTGCCATGAACTCAACTGCCCTATCTTGGCAAGGAAAGAAAAGAAAGAAGAAAAGAAAAGAAAAGAAGAAAAGAAAAGAAAAAAAATTATATATATATATATATATATATATATATATATATATATACTTTTAAAAATATATGCAGCAAATAAATAGTCAATCTGAATAGGCCTGTATCTATTAAGGAAATTGAGTCAATAATTAACAACCTTCAAAACAGAAAGCACCAGACCCAGATGGGTTTACTGGCAAATTCTACCAAATATTTAAGGAAGAAATTTTACCAATTCTCTACAATCTATTCCAAAAGATAGAAACAGAGGGAATACTTACTAACTCATTCTGTAAGACCAGCATTAACCTAATTCCAAATCCAGGCAAAGACATTACAAGAAAAGGAAACTACAGACCAGTATTTCTCATGGACGCAGATATAAAAAGCCTCAACAAAATATTAGCAAATTGAATTGAACAATGAATAAAAAGAATTGTACATCATGATCAAGTGGGATTTTTTTCCAGGTATGCAAGGCTGTTTCAATGTTTGAAAATCAATTAATGTAATCCCTCATATCAACAAACTAAAGAAGAAAAATCACATGATTATATCAATAGATGAAGAAAAAGCATTTGATAAAATCTAACACCCATTCATAATAAAAGCTCTCAGTTAACTAGGAATAGAGAACTTCCTGAACTTGATAAAGAACATCTACAAAAACCTCACAGCTAACATCATACTTAAAGTTTTCCCACTAAGATCAGGAACAAAAGCAAGGATGTCTTCCTCTTTAGTTTTCTTTTGGTTAGCAGGTACTAATGTAGGTCTTTTATAAAAGGGAAGTGGCCTAATACGAAGTTTAGAAAAGCAGAAATACCTGTATACAGACGGGGAAGAAAGAAAGAAAACTTTGTTGGTGGATGACATGATCATCTACATAGAAAATCTCAAAGAATCATCAAAAAACTCCTGGACTAGTAAGCCATTATAGCAAGGTTACAGAATACAGAATACAAAACTTCATTTCCTATGTACCAGCAATGAACAAGTGGAATTTGAAGTTGAAAACACAATACCATTTTCATTAGCACTCTCAAAAAAGAAATGCTTACACATAAAACTAACAAGGGGTACCTGGGTGGCTGAGTCAGTTGGGCATCTGACTCGATTTCAGCTCAGGTCATGATCTCAGGATCATGAGATTGAGCCCCGAGTTGGGCTCCCCACTGAGCATGGAGCCTGCTTAAGATTCTCTCTGCCTATCCCTCTGCCCCTCCCCACCCCCTGCCCCACTTGTACAATCTCTCTCTCTAAAAAATAAAATAAAATAAAAAAGAAAACTAATAAAATATGTACAAGATTTATATGAGGAAAAATACAAAATTCTGATGATGGATCAAAGAATCAAACAGAGCTAGTTCATGTTTATAGGTAAGGAGATTCAGTATTGTCAAGATATCAGTTCCTCCCAACTTGATCTATAGATTTAACACAATCCCAATCAAAATCCCAGCAAGTTATCTTGTGGGTACTGACAAACTGATTCTAAAGTTTATATGGAGAGGCAAAAGACTCAGAATAGCCAATACATTATTAAAAGAGAAGAGCAAAGTTGGAGGACTGACACTACTCAACTTCAAGACTTACAAAGAAACTGCAGTAATCAAGCCCTGTGTTACTGGCAAATAAATCAGTGGAACAGAATAGAGAGCTCGAAGCAGACTCACACAAATATAGTCAACTGATCTCTGACAAAGGAGCAAAGTCTATACAATGGAGCAAAGATAAACTTTTCAAAAAATGGTGCTGGGACAACTGGACATCCACACGCAAAATAATAAATTTAGACACAGACTTTATGCCTTTCATTTAAAAACTAGCTCAAAATAGATCATCAACCTAAGTGTAAAATGCAAAACCATAAAACTCCCGGAAGATAACATAGGAGCAAATCTAGATGACCTTGGGTCTGGTGATGTTTAGACACAATCCCAAAGTGACAATCAATGAAGAAAGAATTGGTAAGCTAGACTCAATGAACATTAACAATTCTGCTTTATGAAAGTCAAGAGAATGAGAAGACAAGTTGCAGGCTGGGAGAAAATATCTATGAAATACGTATCTGATAAAGGGCTGTTATCCAAAATATACAAAGAACCCTTAAAATTTAATAATAAGAAACTGAACAACCTATTTAAAAATGGGCCAAAGACCTGAACAGACACTTGATCAAAGAATATATACAGATGGCAAATAAACATATGAAAAGATGTTCAACATCAGATGTCATTAAGGAATTGCAACTTAAAACAGTAAGATACTACTATAGACACCTATTACAATGGCCCAAATCCAAAAGACTGACAGCACCAAATGCTGGTGAGGATGCTGAACAACAGGAACTCTCTCATCCATGGCTGGAGAGAATGCAAAATGGGACAGCCACATTGGAAGACAGTTTGGCAGTTTCTTACAAAGCTAAATATACTCTTACCATATGATCCAGCAATTACACTCCAAGGAGCCAAAAACATATGTCCACACAAAACCTGTACATAGATGTTTATGGCAGCTTTATTCATAATTACCAAAACTTGGAAGCAACTGAGATGTCCTTCAGTAGGTGAATAGATAAACAAACTTGGCACAACCCAATGAGGGTATATCATTCAGTGCTAAAAGGAAATGGGCTATCAAGCCATGGAGAGACAGGGAGGAATCTTAAAAGCATATTACTAAGTGAAAGAAGGTTTTTCAGAAAGGCTACAACTGTATGATTCCAGCTGTAGAACATCCTGGAAAAGGAAAACTATGGAGATGATGAAAGGACCAGTGATTGCCAGGGCTTGGGGGGAAGGAGGGATAAGCAAGTGGAGCACAGAGGATTTTTAGGGCAATGAAATGACTCTGTATGATACCCCTAATGATGGATACATGTCATTACACATTTGTCAAAACCCATGGAATGCACAACACTAAGAGTGGACCCTCATGGAAACTATGGACTTGGGGTGATAATGATGTGTCAGTAGAGGTTCATTGATTGTAACAAACGTATGTCGATGGTGAGGGAAAGCAGGTGGGAGGACAGAATATTTAGGAAAGCTCTATGCCTTCTGCCCAGTTTTGCCATGAACCTAAAACTGCTTTTAAAGATGAAGTCTCTATTAAAAAACATATACAACAGCAAATGAGAAGTCTGTTCCAACATTGGAAGAGTGGCTGTATTAGAGACAACATACTGCACTTGGGGCAGGAGCCAATTTCAAGCTCACTCACGTTGCTGTTGGCAGGATTTGATTCCTTGCTGGCTGTCGGCCAGAGGCCCCCCTCAGTCTCTTGCCACACGGGCTCTCTGATACAGCAGGTTGCTGCTTCAAAGTGTACAAGCCACAAAGCCAACAGAGTGAGTCTGCTAGCAAGATGGAAGTCATGATCTTATGTAACCTAATTGCAGAAGTGACATCCCATTCCACATTCCATTGGTTAGAAGCAAGCTGCTGGGCTCAGCCCACATTCCAGGGTGTGAATACCTTTGAGAAGGCAGGTGTCACTAGGGGCCATCTTAGAGGTTTGCTCATAAGGGAAAAAACAAATGGCGACATCAGCCCATTGGGTGCCTGTGGCTGGGGAAGGGTGGGGGGAGTTGATACAAAGGGGCATGAGGAAATTTTTGGGTGATAAAAATGTTCTGTGTCCTGATAACGCTAGTCCTTACACAGGTGTATAAATTTGTCAAATCTCATCAAATGGCACACAAAATGGGTGCACTTTATGATATGTA